TCCTACAAGCCGAATCCAGCGCCTACTTGGCTCTGCATGGCGGCGAGAAAGGATATAACGATGATAGTGTGTGATAGAAGGGAAATTTAACGGGGAAAAATGAGGGTGCTAAAAACATTGCCGATACTTCCAGCGCAACGCAAGATCAATGGCACGTTTGTGTCAGTGGCAGTTGGCAGTTGTTGCCTGAAACATATGAGCGGTTCCATATCATTAAAGCAACGAGTAATTTTCATCTTTTTTGATTTGCATGAAACCTTGCATACAAGTTTTTGGGGAAGAAAAACGCCGTTTTACATACTTGGTTCGCCATTTTGAATCTAGCCTTACTTATGAGAAGGGCCTATGAAAAATGCACATGATATCTTCAAAAAATTGTATCTCGGAAACGGTTTGTCCGATTGGTTTGGTGTCTTGGGTGAAGTTTTAGACAATTGTTGGTGTTATATGGAGAAAATATGCACGGTAAAAAAAAAGTTTGGTATTTGTGTTTTGAACTAAAATATAAATTTTCCCTTTAAAGTGACATGTCAATAATTTTTTTATTATCCTTATGTTATAGCTGACTAAAAATGCTATCTAGTGCACAGTAGGTTGTTCTGGAGAAAAATAGGTTACGATGAAAAAAATTGTTTTTAAAAAAAATACAATTTTCAAAAAAGCTATTAAGAAAAGTCAAAAAAGTTTGTCACCCTAAGTTTATGAAAGTACATCAAATTTGCAAACAAAAAGTATTTTGGTAACATTTTTCTAAGATGCACCGTTTAGAAGATATTACTGATTTAATATTGTTTTTTTTTGATAACTTAATAAGTTTTGGCCCTTTTCGGATGTACTCCGTGTTTTTCCAGTTTCAAAAGTATTTTTTTCGGAAAGATTGGAAAATTTTGCTTCGTTTTGCAGGATGAAGTTCAATCACACCATTGGAACGTGCAACAGGCCACAATCCATCCTTTCGTAATATATTATACTGAAAATATGCAAATTAAACATTTTAGCTTCATTATAATTTCTGAAGAACTAAGACATGATTCAGTCACTGTCAATTTGTTTATTGATAAAATGATAAACTTTTTACAAATTGATCAAAATAAAAACATAAAAAAAATTTATTTTATGTCAGATGGTGCTGCTTCACAGTATAAAAACCGAAAAAACTTTTCTAGCCTTTGTAAATTTAAGTCAAAGTATGGTATTGACGCTGAATGGCATTTCTTCGCAACATCGCACGGAAAAGGTCCATGCGATGCTATTGGAGGTACGATAAAACGCATGGCTACCAGAGCAAGTTTAGCCAAAGAACGCGAACACCCGATAAAGACTGCAAGAGAGTTGTTTAATTGGGCAAACAAACGAAAAGAAGAAGAAGTTACAAAGTTGTCATTTTGTTATTCTACTACAGAAGAATACGAAAATATGTCTTTGCAGCTAAATAATCAATATAATAATGCAAAAACAATTCAAGGAACTCTAAAATTCCACTCATTTCTTCCTCTATCAGAAAATACAATAAAGGCAAAGCTTTATTCAAACTGTCCTGACAATGATGCCAAAATATTCAATATTGTTAAGAAAGTTGTGTAAACAATAATTTTATAAAAATACAGGAATAAAAATAAACTGATGATATCCAACATATAATGTTATTTTTTATTGCGCACAATCACCATCCCTGAAAAATAAGCTTAATTCGCTCTTTTGAATCTTGCTAATTGAGGAGCTTACATTTGCAGTTCTCAAAAAGGTGTATCTCGAAATCGAGTTGTCTCATCGGTTTGATGTCTGTGGCGATGTTCGGCAATAGAGAGAAAATATGCACAGTATAAACACATCCAGTTTAAATGGATTAAACTGTTAGGCGATATGCAAGAGTTGAATGCACATTTTCAGCACAACGCACCAAAAATCACTTGAAGAAATCATTGTTCCTGATAGTGGGATTTTGTAACTTGTTTTTCAAAATACTTTTAAGGCAGAGAATTTCACTCGAATCTTTAAGCTGTCAGTGTCATTTTAACTCAAAATTTTCCAATCTTTCCGAAAAAAAATACTTTTCAAACTGGAAAAACACGGAGTACATCCGAAAAGGGCCAAAACTTATTAAGTTATCAAAAAAAACAATATTAAATCAGTAATATCTTCTAAACGGTGCATCTTAGAAAAATGTTACCGAAGTACTTTTTGTTTGCAAATTTGATGTACTTTCATAAAATTAGGGTGACGAACTTTTTTGACTTTTCTTAATAGCTTTTTTGAAAATTGTATTTTTTTTAAAAACAATTTTTTTCATCGTAACCTATTTTTCTCCAGAACAACCTACTGTGCACTAGATAGCATTTTTAGTCAGCTATAACATAAGGATAATAAAAAAATTATTGACATGTCACTTTAAAGGGAAAATTTATATTTTAGTTCAAAACACAAATACCAAACTTTTTTTTTACCGTGCATATTTTCTCCATATAACACCAACAATTGTCTAAAACTTCACCCAAGACACCAAACCAATCGGATAAACCGTTTCCGAGATACAATTTTTTGAAGATATCATGTGCATTTTTCATAGGCCCTTCTCATAAGTAAGGCTAGATTCAAAATGGCGAACCAAGTATGCAAAACGGCGTTTTTCTTCCCCAAAAACTTGTATGCAAGGTTTCATGCAAATCAAAAAATACAAAAAATAAAAACTGGAAAAATTTCCCACTTGTTCGTGGAACCGCTCATATAGGCAACAACAGGAGGTAGGTTCGTCGTTCGGGAGAGGGTCCTTTAAGTTATTACAAATGAGGGGTGTTTTTCTATTAGTTTGTCTGGTGGTGTTCGCTCCGTGGCCGGTTTAAAAGCGAAAGCGTGAGTGTAAATAACAATGGATGTGTTTCTAAATGTGCCTGTTTTATGAATGAAAGTGAGAGCGAAAGTGTGTAGCTCGGTCCGGGAGCAACTCCCACAGGAGTTTCAAATGTGTTTCTAGTTGATAGTGTGACGTGTGAGTTATGGCCTTCTTCCGGGTTTTGGTCGTGTTTGGAGATAGTTTAATTTCCATGTTTTGCCAGTGGAAAATCCATGGGCTTAGGTAAAGGATTTTAATAGCGTCAGCTGGGATCAAAACAAGCAATTTGTGAGGTAATTATAACGGATATGCAACTAAATGGTTCTTATTTTTATTTAATTCTTGCAAACTCCAGATACCGTGCCAGATCAATCGAATATCCTAATTGCCTGTTTGTCACTCCCTCCGGGCTCGAACAGATAAAACAAACCATTTTATCTTCTTATCGAATTTCTTTCCAAAAGCGACAACCCCACTCAATTCAAATCCTCTACTGCCAACATTGATGCGTTGATGTGATGATTCTTCATCCCTCCATCTTCTGATTAGCTTCGTCGTCGTCCCTCTACAACATGATCTGACATATTTTACCCCCACCCACTCGATGCCTTGGGGGGAGCAAACAAGGGAAGAAACTCGATTATCCCAATTTGCCAGGTCTGTGTCCCCAAAAACAAAACAAGGTGATGAAACGCAGCTGTTTTTTGGATTCCACAGAGCGACACCCCCGGGAAGTCACGCTGTTTGATTTTCCTTCAAATGCATCAAAAACACGAACAACGGCGGTAAAAGAAGAAGTAGACAGTCAGTGGCAGGTGTGGGGTGTTTTACTTGGTAAACGATTCTACCATCAGCAGAACGCTGTATTCTGGGTGATTGCTTATGCATTCAACTTTCCTGCTGATTTTGATCGGTCGCCTTCCGTCGTCTTGCTTCTGGTTCTAACAACTATCCGAAAACGACGTTTACCGAAAATGTGGGGGGAAAACACTGAAAACAGCAAGCCAGCTAGGGGAGTTCTGGTCTCCCCAGGAATCGGTAATGGCAGTAGGCATTGAATTCGCTTATCGATGTGCGTCTGGGGATCAAATTATCATCGACGGCATGGAGTTTGGTGCGAAGTTTGGTCATTATTGGTCTATTGTTGGGCTAAATTGGAATTCATTGTCAACGGGAGTAACACTTCATAGGATGCTTTTATTTAGTGGTAAACACGAGGTAGTGGAGAGAATCTTGAATCAACAGATCGGTAGTTTGATGTTGATATCAAGTTGAATCAATTAATCGCATGAAGTAATTTTGATAAGCCGCCATCCAGCCGGAAAATGCAGTTTTGAAAATAATATGAATAGAATCTGTATGGAATCGAGGCATAAACAATCGTTTAAAGGAATCGTGATACATACAGTGTATCTCAAAATAGAGCGTACAGCTGTCCTTATTAAAAAAAAAGCTATACGAACACAATTTAAAAAGATAGATTTCTGAATGTTTGATCAACTGATAATGATGAAATCATCTACTGGCAACTAGCTCATCGAAAAATTGGGATTATACGGATGAGTTAGAGTTGTTTTAGAAAACGCCTTTGTCTAAAAGAAAGTAATTTCTTGAATAATGCGTCAATTTTTTTTTAAATATTGCTTTGCATAATTAGTCATAATAAAGATCATGCGAACAAAAAAGTTAAAATCGAGTGTTTTACTTTAAATTACTCAAACTGCATACCAGCTCCGTCAATAAAGTCCAAAACCATATCGAAAAATCAATAAATAGTTGCTTAAACTGGCTGGTGGTTTACAAACTCTATCATTTCAAAGAATTAACAAAAAATCTTTTCAGGAGTACGCTCAATTTTTCGATAAATTATTATGCTGATTCTATGAATTAATTGCATTCCCACCAAATCATAAAACCTAGAAAATTGGGAATTTTGTTGCTTGCACCACAGAATGTTGTAAAATCTTCTATTACATTTCTCGTGAGACTGATTGATTATCACTTTTACGAGACGCTTCAACCCAGCTAGAAAATTTGATTCTTCACCCTCACATAATATTCAACTCCAACTGCGCTCAAATTTCGATCGTCCGTTTTCATCATCTTTCCGCACATCGAGCAGCAGCAGTGAAATCGACAGAAAAACTTCAATCGAAGACACCCTACTTACCGGTTCGTCATGTCGGCTGGCGGAGCATGGATTTCGACTTTGGTTTGCTGTTGGTGGTGAGTGACGAATCCGCCGGTTGATGTCACTGCTGCGGCTGCTGCGACGGCTGCTGCGACGGCTGCTGCCTTCTGCTTGGTCGCCTGCTTATATCGACCTAACGAGGGAAAGATGGAAAAACATGCAGTGGTGAATTTACGTTTCGATATTGATCGACTACCTGGTGGCAAAACAGAGAAACTTACTGAGAGCGAAGAATAGGGAGAGCACTGCTTTCAGCCGACCGCTGCAGATGTCGTTTGGGGTGACTGATTCAAGACCGCCAACTTGATGCTGTCTCAGTACGGTGAGACAGGAATTGACGTTGTCGTACTGTAATGTAGAGAAATAGAAGGAGAAATTAGTAAGATTGGGGTCTAATGCGGTTTCAAAAGGATACGTTAAATTTATATGAATTTAAAATCATGTTTATACATTCAAATCTGAGCTAAAATAAAATCCTTTTAGTTTAAATAAATGATTTTTTTTTATGTTCGAACTGATTTACCATTATTTCGTTGTAGAGCTATTTAGATGTTTTCGAAACGATTTTAACGTTTTAAGGTCATTTTAACGTTTAAAGGTTATTTTTAAGATATGTTGGTAAATATATGCCGTTTTGACGGTCGTAATGTCATTTAAGTGTTATTAATATCATTTTGTCATATATATGATTTTTTTTCCAATATTATTATTATTATGTAAAGCCAAACTGATCTTCAACGCATGAACAACCCCAGAATAACACATTGTTTGGGAACCTGGGAACTCACTCTCCAAATGATAACTAAGGGTGTTACAGAAAAGCTTTTTTATGGCGGTAGCTCTGCAAAACGTGATTTAGACGTAGAGCTATTTTTGATATAGTCATAGCTAAGCAAATATTTCTGAAGCATCTAAATTTAGTATATACCAACCATATTATATTTTTACACATTCCTTGGAGTCCCTTCTATAAGAGAATTGTATGTCCTGGCCTACTAGATGCTTATGTTTTTTTTTTTTAATTTTCAGAGATCACGGTTTTTAATGAGTAATAAGTGGGCATCAAATAAAAAAGTACATGGGGTAAAGAACTACTTCGGCCTATTCGCTCATTTTGGGCCTATCGAGCAGAAAACTTCAAATAAATCCATGATTTCAGAGCTAACAAGTCAAGTATGCGTTTGGTACGATACTTTAGTTAATTAGCTACCGAACGAAGTCAATGAGAACGCGTGATTTGAAGGTTTTCACCCATTATTCCCAAAAACAAAAGAAGCGCTCCGACCGAATCAATTTTTATCTTCATCCGATAAGCCGAAGTGAATTCATTGGCGCTTCTATGGCGTTTCAATGCGTTAGGTCGAGTTTAGAATCCGTAGCCCGAGTTTGGCGTCAAGAAGCAGTGTTAGACTTTTGACAATATCTCAACGATTGGTTTCTCTTTACCAAATCTTACGGTACGTACGGAACGGTAAATAAATTTGGAAACCATCAGTAATAATAACATCCCGTTTGGTGCTAAACTGCGCTAGATTAAGAAACACTAAGTGCGGGTTGTGCTTAATAGGCCGGAAATGGGGTAGTTAACCCTACATATGACATTTAATCAAGTTGGTGTCTTCAGACAACTTTTTAGTTAGATTGAAACGTTTCTGGTAAATGGGTCTTCCATTAATTTAACTACATAGAACGCTACTTAAAAATTCTAACTCTTTTGCATGATAATTTACAAGAATAAAATATTCTACAAAGTGGTAGAACTTATCAGGTCTAAGAATTTGTTCTAAAACAACTCAACGGGCCCATATTTGAATAGATATAGAAATACTGATGCTGATCGATCTTAATATTATTGATATATTGGTGATTTAAAGTAGTTTAACATTACTTTTCATGTAGTCTTTGGACGTTTCCTGGATACTGGCTCCATTTTAGGTGTGATGATCCTTTTCTTAAGTGAAATTTCCGGACAATTTGGCCTAATGATATTCGACGTCGTTCGTCCAAATCACATTCAGCCTAATATCTTTTAGCCTAATGACTCGTTACAATAAAATAGAATGTAAACTGTAACGAAACGCTACAAATTTTCAGTGTACTCACTCTTGAATTTGTTTTAGCAGAGGCCACATTACACAACTCGAAACGAAACATTTTTTGTACGAATGCTAGTATGAAAAAGTGTTTCGTTTTAAGCTGCGCAAGTTTTGCTGTGTGAATTCAGAAAAGTGTTGCGAATTTAAAGAACATTCTGCGTACTCGAGGAAGCTCTGTGAACTTCAGAAATATCCTGTGAATTTCTGCGAATTTCTGAAAAAGTCTGAAAATCTCAGGAAAATTATATAAACTTCAGGAAAATTTTGCAAACTTCACGAAATAATCGCGAACTTTTGAAAAATTATGCAAAACTCAAGAATATTCTACGAACATCAGAAAAATTCTTCGAACTTTAGGAACTTTAGGAACTTTAGACAGCAAGTTCATCAAACTTCAGGAAAGTTCTTGTGAATTTAAGGAAAGCTATGAGAACTTTAGAAAAACTCTGCAAACTGCAGAATAATTCTGAAAACTTAAAAATGTTTCGCAAACTCCAGGAATATCCTGTAAAATTCAAGAAAAAAAGTCTAACTTCAGGAGAATTTATCGACCATCCGGAAATCTCTATAAATTTCAGAAAAATTATGCGAACTTCAGGAAAACCCTGTGAACTTCAGGAAATTTCTATGAACCTCAGAAAAGTCTGTGAATCTCAGAAAAATTATGAAATATTAAGGAAAATTGTGCGAACTGCACAAACTTCAGGAAAGTTATGTAATATTCAAGACTTTTCTGCGAACGATAGAAAAGTTCTACGAGCATAAGAATAACTCTCCGGAAACTTCTTGTGAATTTTTGGAAAATTATGCGATTGTCATGCTATTAGAACTTTAGAAAAACTATGCAAACTTCAGAATAATTCTGAAAACCTAAAAATGTTTCGCAAACTCCAGGAATATCCTGAGAAATTCAAGAAAAAAATTCTAACTTCAGGAGAATTTATCGACCATCCGGAAAGCTCTATAAACTTCAGAAAAACTATGCCAACTTCAGGAAAATCCTGTGACCGTCAGGAAATTTCTATGAACCTCAGAAAAGTCTGTGAATCTCAGAAAAATTATGAAATATTAAGGAAAATTGTGCGATCTGTACAAACTTCATGAAAGTTATGTAATATTCAAGACTTTTCTGCGAACTATAGAAAAGTTCTACGAGCATTAGAATAACTCTCCGAACTTTAGCAAAATTCTGTGACTTTCAGATAAGTTCTTTTAACTTCAGGAAAGGTCTTGTGAATTTCAGGAAAATTATGCGATTGTCAGGACAACTCTGCGAACTTTAGAATAATTCTGAAAACTTCAGAACAATTCTGTTGACTTAAAAAAAATCTACAAACTTCAGGAATATCCAATGAAAATCAAGAAAAATTTTCGAACTTCAGGAAAATTTTAGAAACTTCAAGAAATCTCTGTAAACTTCAAGAAAATTCTGCGAACTTCAGAAGTTCATGTGAACTTCAGGAAACTTTTACGATCCTCAGGAAAGTTCTGCGAACATCAGACAAACTCTCCGAACTTTAGAAGAAATCTGCCAATATCAGGAAAGTTCTTTTGAACTTCAGGAAAGTTCTTATGAATTTTAGGAAAGCTTTGAGAACTTTAGAAAAACTCTGCAAACTTCAGAATAATTCTGAAAACTTAAAAATGTTTCGCTAACTCCAGGAATATCTTGTGAAATTCAAAAAAAAAATTTCTAACTTCAGGAGAATTTATTGAACATTCGGAAATCTTTGTAAACTTCAGAAAAATTATGCGAACTTCAGAAAAAACCTGTTTACTTCAGGAATTTTTTATGAACCTCAAAAACATTATGGTGCGCGAACTGTTCAAACATTTTGTGAACTTCAGGAAAATTATTTTTTTTTCTTTTTTATTATAGACACTTTAACACTCTTGGGACATTCGTGACTTGTCCGGGGGTGAGATTTGAACTCGTGACTTTGGCGTGAGAGGTATGGATGTTAACCACTACGCCGGAGTCGCCCTAGGAAAATTATCTTATATTCTACGGCCTATAAAAAAAGTTCTACGAACATAAGAAAAAAAAACTCTCCGAACTTTAGCAAAATTATGTGGCTATCAAGCAAGTTCTTTTAATTTCAGGAAAGTTCTTGTGAACTTCAGGAAAGATCTTGTGAATTTCAGGAAAATTATGTGATTGTCAGGACAGCTCTGCGAACTTCAAAGTAATTCTGAAAGGTTCAGAATTATTCTGTTGACTTAAAAAAATCTGGAAAACTGGTTTCAAAAGGATACGTAAAATTTTTATGAATTAAAAATCATGGTGACATATTAAAATCTGAGCTTAAATAAAATCCTTTTAGTTTAGTTTAGTTTAAATAAAGGATTTGTTTTATTTTTATGTTTGAACTGATTTTGGCGTTTAAGGGCATACCATTATTTCGTTGCAGAGCTATTTAGATGTTTTCAAACCATTTTAACGTGATTAGGTAATTTTAACGTTTTGAGGTCACTTTTAAGTTATTTTGGTAAAAATTTGCCATTCATACGAAATTGTAAACAATATTTTTATTATAATGTAAAGCCAAAATGATCTTCAATGCATGAACAACCCCGAACCTCAGAAAAATTATGAGATAATCAGGAAAATTGTGCGAACTGTACAAGCTTCAGGAAAATTATGTAATATTCAAGAATTTTCTGCGAACTACAGAAAAGATGTACAAACACTAGAAAAACTCTCCGAACTTTAGCAAAATTCTGTGACTTTAAGACAAGTTCTTTTAACTTCAGGAAAGATCTTGTGAATTTCAGGAAAATTATGCGATTGTCAGGACAACTCTGCAAACTTCAGAATAATTCTGAAAACTTCAAAATAATTCTGTTAACTTAAAAAAAAATCTTCAAACTTCAGGAATATCCTATGAAATTCAAGAATTTTTTTCGAACTTCAGGAAAATGTAACAAACTTCAAGAAATCTCTGTAAACTTCTGTGAACTTCAGGAAAATCCTGTGAACCTCAGGAAATTTCAACGAACCTCAGAAAAAGTCTGCAAACCTCAGAAACATTATGAGATCTTCAGGAAAATTGTGCGAACTGTGCAAACATATTGTGGACTTCAGGAAAATTTTGTAATATTCTACGGCCTATAAAAAAAGTTCTACGAACATAAGAAATTTTATCCGAACTTTAGCAAAATTCTGTGACTATCAGGCAAGTTCTTTTAACTTCAGGAAAGTTCTTGTGAACTTCAGGAAAATAAAGCAAATGTTAGGAAAACTTTGCGAAC